AGGAATGCCATCTATTAAAACATGGTTAATATTTAAACAGTGCCTGTAGTCCTCCCTGCATGCAATTACCACCTGGAGGCAGTGGTGTGTGTGTGCTTGCTTGTACTGTACGTGTTTGGGGGTGAGACTGGTGGGGATGTTGGGCAATTTGGACGACAGGACATGCAAATTTTAAAAGAAGTTAAATCCAGTAACTGCTTGTAGGATAAAAATGTTTGCAGCTTGTTTAGTTAGATATCTGTGCCTGTAACTGAGATGCATCTAAAGAAGTGCTCTCTTTCTCTTTCTCAGTGTGGCTTACCTAACTTTATTGAATGTATGAAGAAAGAGTAAGAAAAAAGAAAGTGAGAGAAAAAGATCAATATTTTGTTCTCTCTCCTAATGCCAGATAAGGCCATCTATGTTAGAAATGGAGTCCACCTATGGTTATTTACCACTTGTTTCCTTGGGTTGATGATAGAAGGGGCCAGAAGCATATTATAATCTTAGACTATATGCAGGCATCCTTTCTTGGGAACAGATTTGGAAAATGTATGAATGAGAATGTTCTACAGAAAGCTCAACCAAAAGAGACCTGACTAACCTGCAGGGTGTAAGGCAAAATTGCCCCTAAGTGCATCCCTCTCCCAAGTAACTAGTAGCTCTAGATTCTCTGTCTTGGTTCCAGGCATATGTGCTCTTATCCAGAGAAAATAGTACCTCTGAGGTTTTAGGTCATCTATTAAATTGCCCAAACTCAATCTACATCTTTTATAAAAATAATTTAGTAAGGTAAATTTTAATCACTGTTAGATATCCACTCAAGACCTTTCCTGAAGCACAGAGGATCATCATTTTAGCATGCCATGTTGTAATATTAGGAAGACTAGGTGTAATCTTTGAGTGCAATATATTAAACAATGAACCAGATTCTCTCCAGTGCCTTAGTCACTTCCTAGTAATAGGTAAAAGAGTGCATTAACTCCCTCAGGCCACTAGGGAATCCTTTAGTACATCAGAGCTCTACATTGTACATCAGAATGACTAAGGCACTGTAAAGAAGAAAGTCCATTAATTTTTGTATCTCACCCTCATCTAGCTATAGCTCTTTAATACCTTATTACAGAATGACTTTTGGACTTGAAATTTGAATAGAATTAGGGATTCAGAAGGGAGCTTCCTCATTTCCAATGAGCTGCACTAAGTGCATGGATATTACTTTGTCCCCCTTATTGGGTGCACTTTTTACAGTGAATAATTTCCCATTTTATTAAAGCAATAAGATGTTCTGTTGTGAGCAGTGCTGGATGATGACTCCATTTCCTTGGTGCTGAAGCTACTCATACGTTTTGCCTTATGAATCATAGTGCATTCAAAGCATGCAATAATAATCCCCTTTCAAAGAGCAGCCTGTACACTCTAGGGGGTAATTATGAAATCGTCCTGTATAATTTTTCCCTAAAGGAATAGAGGAAACAGGAGAAATAAAAACATTATGTATATTGTTTTAAAAAGATATTGATACCTCTAAACATGGGTACACATCCATAATATGTTCTTAATGTGCACCTTTAAATATGTATGCCTTTCTCCATTAATTGACTATGGCTTAATATTTTTAATAGTGCCCTATGTAAAGATGATGTGATCTATGAGTCAAATTTCATGCTGAGTTAATATTCTCAGAACTCTATAAGCTGGTGGTGTCACTTGAGATTTTTTATGAGGTAGGGAATTACATGAAATTCTAGTAATGCCAGTCCCCACACCAAATTATTACAATAAGCACATATCCAAGCAATTTGAACAGACCCTGTTTAAAGCATTGCTTCCTATAGAGCTCAGTTGACAGTCTAAGGAGTTTGGGATGCTACCAACAGGGCATTTTGGATTTCATCTTATATGAAACAAAACACAATCTGGAAATAGACAAATTTATTTTAAGGATTTTATTCACTGATGTCCCGTCAAACTAATTGCTTCAAATCCCTATAGCTACAGCTCAACTTCTGCACTTGCTATTCAGTATTCATAAGGTGGCATGCTTGATTCTTATTGTTTTTAAAGGTTAGAAAATTGGAGAGAGAATACCATTATGTCAACTGTATGGGACTCTGAATCTTAAAGATGTAGATGTAGATGGATATAATCTTCTTTAGAATTTATATACACCCATAGATATGTATTTATATATGCATACATTTTGTACAAATTTACAATGGACTTTTTGTATTCTCTTTTCTGTCATTACAAGAATGAGATGGAAACCAAATAGTTGTTCCACCCTCTTTTCCAGAGAGGATACTGAGAAGTCGGGTATATGCATGCACCTATTTCTCTGGAGTTAAATCTGATGACTTTCTCTTTATTTAATGAAAGGGGAGAGTCCTGTTTGACTCCGGGGAATTGATAATTAGATAAGCTTCCTTTCCTTGTTAGTGACTCAGATGTAGCAAGATAATGAATTTATGACCATATCTATGTGGTCTGAATATCTAGATGGAAAGCAAAAATATCTAGAAGAGATTTAGGGCCATATAGACCACAAACCTGAATTGTGGCTCAATTTTTAATTTTCAACCTATGTGTGGTGTGGAGATACAACTTATATCTACATAGCTAAAGGTAAATCTCTTTAGTTTGATAAGTAGTTTTTGGAAAATATGGATAAATTAGCTTTTAAAAAACCTTTGGCATCTGACTTTTTTCCACCATTTCTATCTATATCAATTGAATTAATTAGATAGTAGTTAAAACTCCATTTTCCATTGTGTAGACATGTTTTAACTGCTTTTATGTGGATGACAGTTGATCAATTGCTAGCCGATATTATGTGGAAGTTATACGTTAACCCGGTCAGGTTCCTCAGGTCCATTCTCATGTGAATCTGGACTTTGAGTATAAATCTAAAAAACCACTTATCTGAGCCACCCTTTTTTGGAACTAGTGTTTGTGGCTCATATGTGTTTTAGTTTACGTTAGAATAAATTGACCTACCTATTGAGGGGGTATTTAATCATTGAATTGAACATAAATCTTGTTCTGATTTGGTTTTTATTTATTTGATAACATT